GGGAGGGCAGAGGGGCAGGAGGTGAGGCCAGATCACGGCTGGCCACCAAGGGTCTCGGCTCTGACTCTCGGGGACATGCGAGCCACTGTGGTTCTGAGCAGAGAGGGATGACGAGGGCAGGAGCAGGAGCGCCCAGTGAGGGTGAGACTGGGCCATCATTCCGGATGCATCTGCTGAGGGACGGTGTGTGAGAACAAGAGAGGCGTCCGAGTTGACCATGGTTGGCTTGTGGCCCAGACGCTGGAGGCATGCGACAGCCATCCACAGGGCTGGGGGCACCGGGAGGAAGGCAGGGCTCTGAGTGACTGGAAAGGCTCATGCCACCAGGCCCTCCGTCCCCTCCTCATCTCCCCGTACCTGCACCAGCAACAGTCCCGTGACCTGCAGGCTCCCTGCCCCGCTTGCCGCCCAGTGTGTCCCTTCTCCCAAATGTCAGACCTGATGCTGTTTCCTCTTCTTGGTGATGAAGAAATTCAGAGGGAGGAGGCTCAGGAAGACAGCGATGGCAGTGAGGGCAGAGGGTCCTAGAAGCTGGAGACAGAGAGGGTGGGAGGTCACAAGACGCCTCCAGGAGCCCGGCTGAAGACACCGAGGGATTTGGTCAGACCTGGGTCCTAAGGCAGGGCATCCCAGGGAAGCTGGCGAGGGCAGCCAGCTGACACTTGCTGAGGACACTCACGCAAACTACCTAACCTCCCTAAGCAGCACTGTCCTCATCCGTGAAAGGGACATCCAGCATTGCCTGTCACCTAGAATAAGTGCCCGTGTCATACAGTCGTTATCCTAGGTCTTCATTTCACCCCTGACAAGGTTGCCAGATTTAGCCAAAAAACATATAGGATGCCTCGGCAAGTACGAATTTCAGATGAAACAGCAAATGGCTTTTTGGTATAAGTATGTCCCATGCTATATTTGGGATATACTTATCCTAAGAAATTATTTGGTTTCTCTAAAAGTCATATTTAATCAGACATCCTGTATTTTGTCTGACAGCCCTACCCCCACCAGCTTTGTGACTTTGGGACAGTTATGTTCCCTCTTGGCTTTGGTTCCCCCCCCCATTTTTTGGGGGGGGTGGGAGAGTGCAAGCGGGGGAAAAGCAGAGAGGGGAGACAGAGGATCCGAAGCGGGCTCTGTGCTGACAGGCTGACAGCAGAAAGCCCGATGTGGGGCTCGAACTCAAGAACTGCAAGATCATGACCTGAGCCGAAGGCAGAGGCTTAACCAACTGAGCCACAGAGGCACCCCTGCTTTGGTGCAAATGTGGAGCTGGGGGTGGGGGAGATGATTTCTAAGTGGTTGTGACTGTTTGAGATTCCTCCCGCATCATTTGGGGCCAGTCTCTAGGCAAGCCCCACCCCTCTTCAGTCTGTGGCCCTCAGTTTCCCCTCTCAGCTTTTAAGAACACTATTTTGTAATCTCCTTGACCACAGAGCAAGCCTGTTTGTTTCATTTATGCAGCAATCGCGCCACCCAGTGGCCAAGTGGAGAAGTGCCCAGAAGGCAAACCAGCCCACCGCCAGGATTGGGAAAATACTCAAAGAAAGGTGAAAGGAAGGTTAAGCTTTCTCTGGCAAAAATAGTATCATTTGGAGAAAAATGCTACAGATGCTAACTGTGGCAACTTCAATGTCTGCCCCCCCCCCCCGCCGGGCCAGGATTTCAGGGTGACCTTCTGACGTTAGGGACCATCCACCAAAAGACCAGGAGGGTGATGGGTGGATCTTCTGCAGATTTGTTGGGGTCAGGGGTCTGCCCCTTTAATGGCTCTGCATTTTCCCAGGAGTCCTTCGTCCCCCTCCCTCTTCCTACGTGTGCCCACTGCATGCTGGGCCCTGGCTACAAGGCGGCCAGTCAGAAAGGGTGCTGGCCCCGTGTCCCATAGGGTAGGGGCAGTAGGCGTAGATCTACAGTCACCGTGACGACACCCACTGGATGGTACTTGGGACCACTCTGTGCTCGCTCACTGTCGCTATGCCGCTGATACACCTGCCGGGGGCCTGTGAACTGTGGCACACCTGCCAGAGGTAGACGAAGCAGATGATCATCCAGATAATCGGCAGCCACAGCCCGTTAAGGTAGATGACGCTCTCGGTCAGCCGCTGCACGTCCACGGACACCAGGTTGACCACGTCACCCACCGTGCTGGCTTTTCTGGAGGCGCTGGACAGGACCAGGACCTGGGCGGGGCGGGAGGATGGAGACCTGAGCCAGAGGGAAGGACGGGACGAGTGGGGTGGAGGAGGGCAGGGAGGCCCAAAGCACGGACGGAGCAAGAGCACAGCCACCTGGCCGGTCTGGGGTCTAAGCTGGTCTGCCCTTGCTGGCAGAGGCAGGTCTCTTCCCTATCTAGCCTCAGTTCACTCGTCTGTAAAGTGGGCTAGTGAATGTCCTGAGCCAACCTCCCAGGGCCGTCGTGAGAATTTGGAGAGATGACCAAAGAAAAAAATCCTCTGACATCCCTAAAACACTGTTGTGGTAAGTTAGTAGCACAATATATAAAACCCTTGGGTTCATGATGATACTGGGGATCGTTTCCTGAATTCCAACCATGCCCCAGGCACTGTGCTAAATGAACAGGGTCACCGTTTTCTGTGATGGGGCCCAACCCACAACCAGATGGAGTAGGTGCTGCCATATCTCATTCAGTCTACAATGCTATGGACGAAACGCTCTGGTTTTGTGTCACTAAGGGCAAAAAAAGTAAATGCGATTAAATTAAGATACATGATACACATCTTGATTTCAGAAGGGTTAAAAAAAAAAAAGTGAGACTGGGATCAATGAAGTGCAGAATTGCTAACCCCACTTTACAGCCAAGGAAACTGAGGCACAGAGAAGTTGACCAACTTACCCAAAGTTGAAGGCCCTTCTAAAAGGCTAGGCCAAGCTTGGAATCTAGGATGACCAAGGCGAGACAGGAGCTAGACAGGGTGTTAGATCAATTCCCTGAAGGCATCTACACGGTGCCCCTCACACACCAGACCTGGTTCTCTGGCAGCCCCAGATGTGGGCCCTGGGGTCACAGTGGACCCCTTCCAGCCTGTTGAATGCTAAGCTCTATTTGCCATCGTGTCTGCCGAGTGTGTGAGGGAAGAAGTAAGGCGGTAAATGAGTCAGCCAGGAAGGACTGAGTAGAAAATCTCCAGAAGAATCTTTCAGTCTTTATCGAGTACCTAGTGTGGGCCTCACAGTGAACGGAGTACCAAGAAGATAGAGGCAGGGGGCTTGCTCTCCCACAGCAGAGTTTGAACTGGGGAGGAAAATTGAATCACAACTTACATAGTTCCTTCTTTAATGGCAGTTATGAGGCGTGTGATGAAGCAATGTTTTAAGATAATATTATTCAGTAACATCAATAATAATAATTACTATTATTGCCTATTAGCAAGGTGGACTGTGGGGCCTTAATTGTGGTGTTCACAGGGAGGAAGGGTCGGTGAGGGGAAGCAGGGTTGGCTAGCTTGAATAATTTTGGTGGGCTCTGGGGCACAGGAGCTGTCCCTCGTCCAGCACCTGGCCCTGGGGTGACTGGGGCAGGCGCGTGGGGGCCCAGAGTGCCGAGAGCCCCATCAGGGGGCGATTGGGAGTGTGGGCTCTGGACTGGGTAGTTGGCATGAAAGGGACGCTCTTGGCGAGTCATGTCCTACGTCTAGAAATTGGCTAGCCCTGTCTACGTACCAGGTCCGGAAAATAAGCGGACACGGTTAACGGGGAGGCAGAGCAGCGCGGGGAGCCGGGGGCTGACCTCTGAGGAGACGGGCAGGGCTCCCCTAAGGGTGGGCATGGGAGAGCAACGGCCTCAAGCTTCAGCTCGGCACGTGGATTCACAAGACCAGACGGGCCACACTGACCCGGAGCTTGCCCGGGTCTAAGACACAGCAGCCACGCGGTCAGGGGAGCCGTCCACACAGCCGTCCAGGGGCTGTTCCCTTTGCCCCGGTTCTCCCCCAGGGGACAGCGCGGGCGTGACAGGAGACTCGCGGGGACTGGGTGGCCCAGGCTCAGGGGCTGCAGACCCCACGGGAGCCAGAGAGTCCGATAGTCTTACGGCAGATAGTCTTGTGAGCTCCACTCCCAGGGCTCCCAAGGGGACAAGAGCAGGAAAAGAAGCTCCAAGCTATGGCTTCCCATCAGGTACTCATGCTCCACCGACAGAACTTTCAGCCCAGATGAATTTACCAATGGGTCAGGAGTCATTTTTACCATAAGCAGCATTGCCTGGGGATGTAGCTGATAGTCTACCTCCATCTGGTTTCCACACAGCCCAAGATTAGCCCTTTATCCTCATGGGGGATGAGTGGAAAGTACATGAAAAGAAATGGAAAGGGTGTCCAGGTAGTGGCAACAGCAAGCGCAAAGGTCCTGAGGTCGGAGGTTGCCTGGTATGTTTGTGGCTGGAGTGGGTTGAGCAAGAGAGCAGGTGTGTGTTGTTATAGAGTTGGAGAGGTGCCAGGGTCACATCACTCAAGGTCTTATGGAAATAACCAAGAAGGTGAGAGTGTAGTAAAGTAACGAATGAGGGCATTTTCAGGCACAGATGATATGATGTGACCCTTTTGGGCTAGAATGTTTCATATAAATTCGGAAGAGATGGGGAGACGGGAAAGACCCGCACCTCTCGCCCAGGGCTCACCTTCCTGTACACCAGGCCAGTAATGGCAGTTCGCAGCCTCATCTGCATCACCTTGAGTCTGTACATGTACTGCTGCTCCCATACTGATTGCAGGAAGGCAGAGAGGAACATCAGCACCGCGAGGAGATACCCTTTCCAGGCCGGGGTCGTGGGATTACCAATAAACTCCAGAAAAAGGCTTTCGAGAGAGGGAGAGCATGAGCGGTAAGAGAAGGCATCCATGGTTGTTCCTTTTGCCTGAGAGGATCAGACAGAGTGGTAGATATTTTTGCAAAAATGCAAGTTATTTCTCCCGCTGTCCACACTCACTTTCTTTTTTTTTTAAGTTTATTTAACTTGAGAGAGAAAGAGAGAGTACGAGCACATGAGCAAGGAAGGGGCAGAGAGAGAGACAGAGAGAGAGAGAGAAAGAGAGAGAATCCCAAGCAGGCTGCCCTCTTTCAGCACAGAGCTCGAGGCAGGGCTCGATCCCAGGAACTGTGACATCATCACCTGAGACAAGATCAGAGTCAGAGGCTTGATTGACTGAGCCACCCAGGAGCCCCCCCTGCACACTCCTTTTCTTTTTAAAAACAATTTTTTTTAATGTTTATTTATTTTTGAGAGAGAGACAGAGAGCAAGCAGGGGAGAGGCAGAGAAAGAGGGAGACACAGAATCCGAAGCAGGCTCCAGGCTCCGAGAGGTCAGCACAGAGCCCGACGCGGGGCCCGAACTCACAAACCGCAAGGTCGTGACCCGAGCCGACGTCAGACTTAGCTTAACTGACTAGCCACCCAGGCACCCCCTGCACATTCATTTTCAATGTGATTGCTGCTCCTTTGACCTGGAGGGGAGTATTTTGTCTCCACGTGTTATGGGCTGAATTGTGCCCCCACCAGATACCTATGTTAAATCCTAATTCCCGGTACTTTAGAATGCGTCTGTATTTGGAGATCGGGCCTTTCAAGGGGAAATTTAGTTAAAATAAGGCCATGAGGGTGGAACCGTAATCCCATTTGATTGGTGTCCTTCTAAGAGCAAACTTGCACACACAAGGAGATACTATGGGCACACACACACACAGAAGAAAGACCACGTGAGGACACAGCGCGTCCAAGAGAGAGGCCTCATAAAATCCGTCTTGATCTTGGACCGCTCGTCGCCAGCACTGTGCGAACATGGATTTCTGTTGTCTCAGCCACCCAGCCTGTAATACTGTCATGGTAGCCACAGCACACAAATCGACTATCCCCTGAATCTGGGCTGGCCGTGCAACCAGCTTTGGCCCAGAAAACAGTGCAGGTAAAACTGTGCCAGCCCCCAGCCCGAGGCCTCAAGAGAAAGTGGCCCTTTTGCTCTGGGTCTTTAAGCCCTGCCAGGTGGCCATGTGAACAAGCCGGAGCTAGCACTGTGGGCCATGAAAGATCGCATGGAGCAGAGACATGCTGTCCCAGCTGAGACCGTCTCCAACCAGCCAGCCCCCGGCCAGCTTCACACACGGCTGAGCACAGACACACGGGGGAACCCACGACGGAAGAACTGCCCAGCCGAGCCCAGCCCCAACTGCTGACCCACATTATCACGCGCTAAGGAAGTGGTGGTAAGCCCCTCGCTTTTGGGTTGTTTTGTTATACGGCAAAAGCTAACTGATACAGTCAGGGTTGAGTTCATTCATCTTCTCTCCCTGAGGCTAGTCAATTTCTCCGTACTTTTGTCCCTTCCTCAGTATCCTTTTCACCCACTCTCCAGTGCCCTGGGCACCGGAGGACTAGGAAGAGGAAGAAAGAGAGCTGGTGCCCCCTGACTCTGGAAAGACACCATTAAGGAAAGGACCACCAGCCTGAGCAAGGCACCCAAGGTCTGGACCCACCTGAGGAGCTTGGGGACAGCAAACCTGAAGACATCAGAGATGACAAGGCTCAGGGTCCCCAGGAGGAAGGTGGAACGGAACATCTGCCAGATGGCCCTCAGCAGCGAGCCGCTCTGGCTCCCTTCTTGCTGCAGGAAGACCTCCGTCTCTGGGACCTCCGTGCCACACCTTTTAGCTGCTCCTGCCTTGGTGTGCCTTACGGGAGAGGAGAATATGGCTCTGGGTCATTGCAAGAGACTGAATATTTGTTTCTGTCCTGCACCAAAACTCACATGTTGAAATCTAACCCCCAGGGTGATGGTATTTGGAGGTGGGGCTTTGGGGAGGTGATGAGGTCATGAGGGTGAAGCCCTCATGAATGGGAGCAGACAGCTCCTTCCTCCTTCCAGCATGTGAGAACAGCCTTAGATGCAGCCATCTGTGAACCAGGAGGCAGGCCCCCACGACACCGCATCTGTGGGGTTTTGATCTTGGAGTGCCCAGCCTTGCCTCCAGCGCGGTAAGAAATGAATGCCTGTGGTTTAGAAGCCACTCAGCCTATGGTATTTTGTTACAGTGCCTGAATGGACTAAGACAGTCCTTTCACATATTCTCAGAGGTGGCAGATGAGTTTCCAGTAGGACCAGGCATTACAGGACCGTTTTCCCAACAAGGGGGATGACGGGGTAAGCATCCCGCCTTGCTCTCTCAACTGTTCTTCTGTGTCCCCCAGAGGACCCCTTTATGAGACAACGGGGCAGGAAGGGGCAGGGCAGGAGGGCTGCCCTAAGGCGTTACGGATGCTGATGGCACTGCACACGCATCGAGCACCTACTATGTGCCAGGCACTCCTCAGTCCTCTGAAGAAGCTGGCCAGCTAGGTGTTAACCCCATTTCACAGATGGCGAAAAGAAGGTTTAGAATGACCTTGCCCAAGGGCACACAGCTGAGAAGTGTGTGGGATTTGATCCCAGCTCTGTGCCTTCAGAGCCTAGGCATTCTGTGAGCCATTAATGCAACTCCTGCTCCTCCCTTGCGTAACTGGCTAGCCCTTAGGTGGTTTAGAGCTGGTCTAGAACCAGTTTAGAATCACAGCTGATGTCCATGGGCCCAGCATTCCTGGTCTGGATGAAACCACAGATGGAAGCTGGGGGGAAGGTGGGGAGTGGAAGGGAGAGCCAGGCAGGCAGGTCCTCAGCTGCTGAGAGTCTGGGTGCCGTGTGGCCTTGGGCAGACAATCGCCTTCTCTGTGCCTCTGTGTCCTCATGCTTGCAAGGAAGGGGCTGGTCCCACTCTTTGAGCTTCTTCCAGCTCCGACAACCTCTGGGGTTATCAGTAATTTCAGTGCCTGTTTACAGAGCCGGGACCTGGGGCTGGGCTCTGGGATCAGCTCTGTACATGCACCAGCTTGTTGGTTTTTCTTGACTTCCCTACCATGGACTCCCCGTTTTCCCTAGGGGAAGACTGAGGCTCTGAAAGGTGGTGATAGCTGCTTGAGGTCACACAGTGAGGACAGAGCAGGGGTTTGAGACCGGGTCGCAATTCGTGATTCGCATAGTTCCTCTTTGTGAGCCCCACTGACAAAAATCTTTAGAAAGAAGGGGGAAAAAAAACCCCAACCTTGGCGAACACTGGTGGCCAGACCTTCGCTAACAAGCCAAGGCCTTGCCCCCTTGCCCCTTGACCACGGTCCGGCTTGTTTGATTTGGCATCTCTGGAGGGTCTGTCGCTCAGCTGGGCATGGCTTGCTGCTCACAAACATTTTGGTATTTGGGTCTCCAATGCCAAGAAGATGTCACCTTCTTGTCACCTGGCCACCCCTCCTCATCACAGCCCAGTGTTTAATTCGTTGCCCTCAAGGCCCTGCTCACTCTCTCCAATATTCACCTGTATGTAATTATCTTGTTAGCACTCCAGGTGGGTAGACTTCGCTTGTATTCCACCCCCCCCCCCCCCCCCCCCCCCCCCGCCATATTCAGCTCCTGAATGTAGTAGGCACTCAATAAATACTTGTCAAATGAATGGAAAAAATAACAGATGTGTGACGTGTATAAAGGGCCTAACAGGAGTGTCAACCACTTAGTCCCTTAAGCGTCCGACTTGGGTTCAGGTCATGATCTCACGGTTTATGAGTTCGAGCCCCACATGGGGCTCTGTGCTGACAGCTTGGAGCCTGGAGCCTGCTTTGGATTCTGTGTCTCCTTCTCTCTCTGCCCATCCCCCGCTTGTGCTCTGTCTCTCTCTGTTTCTCAAAAATAAATAAATGTGCATACCGTTGTGAAGATTTGTGGAAGGAAGGAAGGAAGGAAGGAAGAAAGGAAGGAAGGAAATCTGGTTTGATGGACAGAACCTGCCTTGGAGGCAGGAGCCTGAGATTCAAATGCCTGCTCTGTCCCCGTTTCCCTGAGCCTCAGTGTTTCCATCTGCAAAATGGGGTGGCCAGGAGATGATGATGAAGGCCTCTTTCCAGCTGGATGTTTTGCTCAGTCCTGTTCTGGCTGCTCACCCCAGAATTCGGAATCCCTGGGGTCCACCTGAAGGCTCTGTAACCAGGTTCCTCCTTTCCAGTGGGTTTCACAGTCCAGGTTTTAGGTCTCTGGACTGGAGGCCATTTAGTGCAGGGTGTACACGTGACCACAGGAAGAGGCAGGGGGTGACTGTCCAGGTCCAAGTTGGGAAAACAAAAGGGAGTGGAACAGACTGTGGCCAACCAATGCCCAGCCCACTGGGGCCTGCCCAGATCCACTCCCCTGTTGCCATGCAGGGGACGTGACCCGGCACTGCCCATGTCCTTTAAAAGACACCAGAATTCCAGATTTTTATATGAAATCTCCAATGTTTTAAATACTGGCAACTTTAAAAAAAAAAAGAGAAAAAAACCCCGAACAACACATGGACCAAACATACCTTGGGAACCTGACCTGGTCTGCGAGTGGCTGGTTCCTGACCTCTCAGGATGACGTCCTCTCCCTTCCCCCCAAAATTGCAAAATACTTCAGAAATAAAACCAAGGTTCTTTCTGTGTGTAATCAGTCAACTCAGAAAAAAACTCAGGGAGGCCTTTGTATGGCCATGTCTTCTGTCGATTGCTATGGATTCTTAATCTGTCCTGGAGAATGTTTCTATCCTGGCTGCAATATTCTCATGCCCCTGAGGGGAGGTCACAGCTGGGAGAGAGTGGGCAAGACCTCTAGGACTCTTTTTTTTTTTTTTTTTTTTTTTTTTAATGTTTATATCTTTTTGAGAGAGATAGTGTGAGTGGGGGAGGGGCAGAGAGAGAGGGAGACACAGAATCCGAAGCAGACCCCAGGCTCTGAGCTGTCAGTGCAGAGTCCCATGTGGGGCTCGAAGTCACAAATCATGAGATGGGACGCTTAACTGACTGAGCCACTCAGACGCCCCCCTCTAAGGTCCTTTTGAATGAATTCGGCCACTTAGAAATCATGTAAGACTAGAGGGGCAATTCAACAAAATATTCCTGCAATGAGCTGCTATTTTGACTTGCTCATATCATTTACCCCTTTTGGGAAAACATACCCCACTGTGGCTCTGAAGGGGCTACCGATCATGGGGCCTGCCCCCGGCTATGGCATTGGTCCTGACTCAAGTCAGCCAATGCCTTCCCTAGCATTTTCTGTACAGATGCTAGGAGAGACACTCCTGCTGGGGTTGCTGCACTGGCAGGATATGAGGCGAGCCAATACATCAGCTGAGCTGAGAGATGGAGAGAAAGAATTTGGATATTATGCAAGCCCCTGGATCCAGCCACACCTGAGGCTAGACCTACCTTCTAAGCTATGTGAGCCAATAGACTGTCTCTCACTTCTTCTAATTTGGAGGATTCAACAACCCCCACAAAATCCTAAAGTACACAGGGGAACCCTCTAACTCTTCCCACAGGGCGAAGGCACTTTTGTCAGTGCCCTGAAACACGAAGTTCACATGATTTGGCCAAAGTCATCAACTACTTCATGGCAAGACTGCTTTAACCCACGTTTAATGAATCCTATGTTGACAGCTCTTTTCTGTAGACCAGAGGTTCCCAACTGGGTTCCTCAGAGTCAGAGGGGACCACAGAAGTTTCCAGAGATGCCACAGAGGGCAAGGGTGAGGCAGAGCTGGCAGGACTAGAAAGGGCTGGAAATCCTCCAGATAACTGACACTATTGGAGCTTTTACCATTGTTGAGGTATTTGCTCAGTTCTTTTCTACAAATTTTTTCATCCCCCAGAAGCTAATGGCATCCTCGTTGAACAGATAAGAAAACCGAGGGCCAGGGAACGAATCCCTTGGGTTAGATACTAAGTAGTTGCCTGCATGTTGTGGATCACCACAGAACCTTTCACTCCCCATCTGTTTCCTGTCTGCTGTCCCAACATCCAAGCTTCCCTCTGGAGGCACCCACTGTGTCCTCTTGGAAGCTGCGAAGCACTCTGGGAGGAAATGTCCCTTGGGCCTGGTCAGTTCATGCTTACTGGGATCAGCTGGCAGGCAGGGGACTATGGCAGTGGAGCCCAGAGTAGGGTCTGGGGTCGTACTCGGGGCCAAGTGATGAGCTTTGCTGGCCAAGCGTTGGGCCGGGCTCTCGTTTCTCACACACTCACCTCTGGGCCGCACTGCGGTTTCTCGTCCATGCCCTCTCGAGCTGGGAAACAATTTCTTTTGAGGAGTTTTCTCGCCCAAGTGACCAGAGGTCTTTTGGCCCAAGTGGCCTCCTGTAGCCTCTCCAGACCAGCCTGTAAAAAGAGAGTCACCAGGACAAGCTCCTCCCTCCATGCTCTCCTCCCCTCCCCCACAGGGTCCTGCCCTGGGAGCTATGTGACCCTGAGTAAGTCACTTTTCCTCTGCTGGCCCCTCAGGAAAATGAAAGCATTTAGCCTGAGCACCCCCAACATTTGTGGGGCACTTCCCAGTTTACAAAGATCATCCCATTAAATCTTACACAAGAACACTCAGTGATAACTATTGACCTATTTTACAGATGAGAAGAAATCGAGGTTCAGAGACACTCAGTGACTTAATCAATGGACAGCCTGTGTGGCGAGGGAAATAAACCTCCCCAGAGTCAGAAGTCCAGAGTTGGAAACCTGAGCTCCACCCTCAGCTTTAAGTGCCTTGTTCACCTCTGCAGCCACCTGGCCTCAGGACCTTTGCACATGTACATTGCTCTGCTTAGAACCCTTTTCCTGCCTTTCTTCACCTGGCCGCTTCCTGGGCTTAGACGTGATTTCTTTAGATACCCACTTGATGGCCCTTCAGTCCACGTAGATTTTCCCATTATAGACTTTTTTCCTGAGCTTTTCTTTACAATGCTTGTTGCCATTATGACTTACTTTTTTGATATGGTTATATGTTGAGTGTCTTTCTCCTCCACTGGATGGTAAATTCCATGGGGGCAAAAAGCACTTGCCTTTATTCTCCTCTATATCCTCACCTCCTGACACAGGACCAAAGATGTGTCAAATAAAACCAGTTTTCAGCTCTGTCACCTTGGGCACCTCCCTTCCCACCAGTGGATCTCAATTCTCTCACCTTAAAATGAGAGTTTACCAACACTTGGACTGGATTGTAGGTGGCACATTATTGGAGGCGGTCACGGAGAGGACATGACCTCCGGGTGTCCCGCAAGCTGGACGTGGGCAATCAGAGGCTCCTCGCCCGTCCTCTGTCCTTGGAAAGTAGGATCTGCCCACTCTGCCTGCACTAAAAGTCGTTTCAAGGATGCAGCCTTGAGAAGGCAATGTGTTGTTGAAACTATCTGGATGGTAGATGTGCCTGAACCCCGCTGAGGCCCCCGCATTAACTTGTAAGATTCTGGCGGGCGGGTGCAGAGATCTATTCGCTTTGTGGCCGCCCAGGACAAGCCTCCTAAGTTTCCTTGCTTATTAAAACCACCACCTGCCAATTGGAACGGTCTGCTCTGTCTTCAGTCTGTCCTTGCCAAGCTGGGGGCCAGCTTGCGAATCAGCACACATACACAAGAGATCAATTACTCTAGACTTCAAGGCGGGAGCATGGTTTATTACTTCTGAGGTGTCTGTAATTTTTCTGACAATACCAAGAAGATGGTCTTGTTTGCTGCTGGTCCTAAGCTCGCCTCGGAGACTTTCCAAGTTCCTTTTTTTTTTTTTTTTTTAACATTTATTTTTGAGACAGAGAGAGACAGAGCATGAACGGGAGAGGGGCAGAGAGAGAGGGAGACACAGAATCGGAAGCAGGCTCCAGGCTCGGAGCCATCAGCCCAGAGCCCAACGCAGGGCTCGAAATCACGGACTGTGAGATCGTGACCTGAGCTGAAGTCGGACGCCTAACCGACTGAGACACCCAGGCGCCCCTCCTTTTGTTTTTTTAATGCAGAGCAAATTCAGCCAATCTAGTTCTGACCTAGAAATTATTAACATGACCTGGTTTTCACTGAAATTTTGGGGGGAGGAGATCTATGTGGCAAGTGATTTAATAGGTTTTTTTCCAACTTGGCAGTGATAGAAAGTTTCCTTTAAAAAAAGTTTATTAAAGTAGAAAAAGTGAGTTGATTTAAAGAAAAAAAAAACCCCAAAAACCAGGCGCCTGGGTGGCTCTGTCGGTTGGGCATCCAACTTCGACTTGGGTCATGATCTCACGGGTTGTGGGTTCAAGCCCCAAATCGGGCTCTGCACTGTTGGCATAGAGCCCACTTCTGATCCTGTGTCGTCCTCTCTCTCAGTCCCTCCCTTACTAATTCTCTCTCTCCCTCTCTTTCTCTGTCTTAAAACTAATAAACTTTTTAAAAAAGTTTTTAAAAAAAGAAAGAAAAATGAGTTTAAAAATAGAAAAAAAACCACTAAGTAAAGGAAGGAAAATAAAATCCCAATAAGGCAAAAAGCTTGAAGAATGATCCACAAATGCCTACATTTGGGAAAAAGAGGGCTAGGTCCTCTCTAGAGCTGTTTGGCCAAACTGTATGCACTTCCCATCAATTCCTCACCCCGAGGGCATTCTAGTCTTTATGTATTCACCAACCACTTTGTATAGTACTCATTATGGGCCAGACCCTGTGCTCAGTGCTTTGAAGCCTTATTTCATTTAATTCCCACACCCCTATTAGGTAGATGCTCTTATTATCCTCACTTTTCAGGGGCGGGGACTGAGACGCAGAGAGGTTAAGCAGCTTGCCCAGGGTCACACAGCCAGGAAGTGGCGAGGCCAGGATTCGAATCCAGGGGCTGCCAAGATCTGACTGCAATGTGGTCTGGAGGGGACAGGGCATCCTCACTGCCTGGTGTGCTGGCCCTGGAGAAACACATGTCTTCTCCACCTCTGGGAGCCTCTGGGGAGTAAAGATGTGGTCTCTTATGTCCTTACTCCCGGTGCTTAGCAAATAGCAGGTGCATATTAGATGCTGGTGGAATGAATGCAGCCAAGGAATAGATTTGGTTTTGTTGAGCACCTACTGTGCATAAGCACTAAGCAATGTACATTTAATGAAGGTAGAGCTGTTCCCCTTTTACAGAGGGGAAAACTGAGGTCCTGAATGTTTGTGATACGGGCCAGCTAAGAAGGAAAGCCGGACTCAAACCCAGATCTCACTCCAGTGAGTGAATGGGAATGGGGTGTGGAGATTGGACACACTGACATCGGACAGAGAAGCACTGAGGCTGGGAGGAAGAAAGCCTGGCTGACCTTGGTAGGCTTGACCGGAAACATCTTGGGGGGAAGAGGTGTAGTGACGAATAAGAAAGCAAATGCACCTTGGCCCCTTCCCTGCTACTCTACTTACCCAGAAACCCACCAGAACATGGCCTTGGAAGGGAAGGAAGCTCCAGCCTCTGGGCATGGATTCTGTAAAGACAAGAGATGGTGTTGGTGAAGGACGCAAGTCTCACATTCCATGGCCAGTATAAGGCAAGGGAACCAAGGTCAGGAAGACCGGACGAACGGACCGTGAGCTCGGTATTACTGGAAGTGCGCACTGAGATGCCCTGACTGCTTGTTACAGGTGAATACCTGTGGGCTAGGTGCTTCCTAGCAGGTAAGGCCCAAAGCGATTTGTGCCACAAATCTGACAGCAACCAATAGGTAAGAACTAACAGCTTCCCAGGGGAACAACTATTACTAATACTGAGACTAAGAACCTCCTAGAAGCACCGAGCATGTGCGACACAGACAATAACATCCTCGACAACATCCTTCAGTGAATATGGTGAGAAGTGCGGAGGGATCTGTCCTGAGACGTTGCCAGCTGCTCCAGAAAAACTGCACGCATCTTCACCTTTTACCACTAGAGCACGAGACTGCTTATTTCACCACATCTTTGCCATCACAGCTTATTAGCAATTTTTAATGTTTTCTTTCATTCTCACAGAACAAAAAAGTTCTAGAGTCTTCATTTGATTACTCATGTCACTGAGCATTTTTTTTCCTTAGGTGACCTTAGCTCAACTGTCTCTTCCTCAGAGAATTCTTTCCTGATTTCACAGGCTAGTTCAGTGCTACCTGTTATAAACTCTCACGGACCCCGAATTTCTCCTGCAGGGCACTTGCCCCAAATGTAACTTTCTATGTGCTTGTGCAATTATGTGATTAATGTCTGGTTGCTCTACTTGGCTGTTAGCTGCATGAGGACAGGGACTACGTCTGCTTGTTTGCCATAGATCCTCAGCACCTAGCTGGGGTACAGCGCAGGGACTGGACCACGGCTCCTGGGCCAGATCTGGCACAGTGCCTGTTTCTGCAAGTAAAATTTTGCTGGAATACAGCCATGCTCCTTTGACATACTATCTGTGCAGCAGCAACAGAGTTGAATCGATGCTGCAGAGACCATATGGCCCACAAAGCCTAAAATACTTTCTGTCTTGCTCTGATCAGAAAAAGTTGGCCAGCCTAGGGCACAGATATACAATACACATTTTGCTGAATGAAAGAATGGGTAAAAAATTATGAAAGGCTCGTGTCCTAGTTTAGCTCCCTTCTGTCCCACGGGGAAACTGAGACCCGAAATGAAACAGGGACAAGGGAGGTGCTGGGTTGGAGACACGGCAACTTACAGACTGTTGGGGGTCTTTAGGGAAGAAGGGGGGTTGATCGACGAGGCAGGACAGCACAAACTGTGCCAGCACCAGAGACAAGCACAGGTAGGTCGACAGGTGGTAGTAGGGGTCACTCTGGAAGCCCTGTGGGCGAGAAAGCACAAGTCCCATCGAGTGTGGCATGGTGAAGTCTGCAGCCAGAGGCCTGTGGGGAGCAGAGGCTGGGCAGGGTGTCTCTAAGGGGAGGAATGCTCACGGCTGAGCAGGTTTCTGAAGCTATGAGCAGTGCCCAGGCAGGGAGCCAGAGCCACAGGGTTTGAAAGCCAGTGCCCCCGGCATGCCTGGTGACCCGATTTAGGAACGCCCGACCCCCATACTCTGCGTGAAATGGGGCGGCATGTGTCTCCCCTTAGGCAGGTGACAGTTGACCACAGCCCCTGGAATGTGAGCAGGGGGGATACTTTTCCTTTCTCCTTGTGCCACGGAGGAAAGCCCTTCTCTACTCCAGCCCCCACCCCAATATCCCATTCTGCTTCCTCATGGCCAGTGTTTTCTGGTTTTAGAGGGAAACTGGTTTGGGGCACCTGGGTGGCTCAGTCGATTAAGCATTGGACTCTCAGTTTCAGCTCAGGTCATGATCTCACCGTTGTGAGATCCAGCCTCCCATGGGGCTTGCGTCGGGCTCAGGCTCACGGTGCAGAGCATGCTCGGGATTTTCTCTCTCTCCTCTCTCTGCCCCTCCCCCGGTTGCATGCATGTGTGCACATGCTCTCTCTCTCTCTCAAAATAAATAGATAAACTTAAATAAAAAAGAAGGGAACTGGATTTTGGATTTAGTGAGCATTTACTCCACCCTGTGCCTATGCGGGAGTGTTTTTGGGCACTGTCTCATCAAGTCCCTCCCCACTCTGACCCCAGCTGGAGTTTAGCTGCTTTATTTTACTCATGCAGAAACCAAGTTCACAGAAGCAATAGCACCTTGCTCAAGGGCACCCAGATGATCTGATCCAAATCAAGAACTTTTGCTGCCACACCGTGATGGCTTTCGTATCTGCTGCCCCTCTGTCAGACTCCCTTAATTTCTTTTCCCATGCTCAGGTATGTGGTTTATGCAGAAGTGACTCCATTTCAGGTGGTGGGCAGGGGACTGAGGTCTGACCAGTGAGTACGTTCCAGTCCCCTGGCTACTGTGATGGGGTCAGGAATGGACATACGACCCACACTGGGCCAGTGAGAGCTGGAACCATCCCGAGATCTTTCACTGGGGTTGCTGCAGGGGTGGAGCCTAGGTCTAGTGCGATTGTTGGTTCTTCTTGCCACCCCACTGTTGAATAAATAACAGGCTAGAACCAAAAGACAGAAGGAGATGGAGATCTATCTGATGGCGTCATCTGAACACTTAGACCAACCGTGCCCAGGAGAGCCCCCATGTAGGAGCTAATGAATTCCTCCAGACTTTTTTCCCCCCTTAAGCTAGTGTGAGTTGAGTCTTTGTGGCTTAAAACAAGAGCCCTCGTTTCAAATGGCAGTTCCTCTACGGGATTTCTACTCTTTTGTTCTTACTTTTGTTTTCTGAGGTATTAGACAATTTGATATCCCAGCTACATCGTGGCTCACCTTCTCTATAATGCCATTTTTTAAAAATTTTTTAACGTTTATTTATTTTTGAGACAGAGAGAGACAGAGCATGAACGGGGGAGAGGCAGAGAGAGAGAGGGAGACACAGAATCAGAAGCAGGCTCCAGGCTCCGAGCTGTCAGCACAGAGCCCGACGCAGGGCTCGATCTCACGGACCGCGAGATCATGACCTGAGCCGAAGTCGGCCACTTAACCGACTGAGCCACCCAGGCGCCCCTCTAATGCCATTTTTACCACTGTTTCTATTGGGACATTTGTTCTGAATTCGGGGGAGATGGACTTGGGCTCTGCGCTCCTCGGCCGTGTGACCTTGAGGAGGCCGCTCATTTCTCTTAGCCTTGGTTTCCCCATCTTTAAAACGGGACTGTGAGAATCTGCCATAGCACATTCTTGTAAGAATCCAATGAAGACATGACATAAAGTGGCTTTTGCAGGGCCTGGCATGTGGCTGGGGTCACAATATTAATGCGTGGCCACAATATTATTATTTCTGTGCTGCATCTGGCCGCTGGGGGAACCTAGCTTTGCACACATCAGGGGATGGCCTGTGCAATTTTCCCATCGGTTACGAAGATTACTTTGTGAAAATCTGTCCTTAAGGACAGAATGGTATGTCTCTGCCTTTTCCTTTTGGGAGCAGGACTGGAGCAACCATTTGGCTGGAGAAACGATCTACAGCCCATTGCAGGGGGTCTCCAGATCTGGGGTGAGCATCCAAACTACGCAAGCACTTTTCAACTGGGGCAAATTTGTCCCCAAGGGCAGACACTCTGGGTTTTACCATCAAGGGAAGGTGTGCACTTGGCATCTAGCGGGTGGAGGCCGGGGATGCTGTTTAACATCCGATAAGGTGAGAACGGCTCCCCCCGGCCCCAAAGAGAATGATGTCAAGAATGCTGAGGTTGAGGAACCGAGGTCTGGGCTATTTCTCTCTTTGAAGGTAAACAGATCCGATGTGTCCCTTAACACGGAACTGCTATTGGCCAGGATGGGAAACCGAAATATAGGGAGGTGGGTGGGGGGAAGGGAAGCCTGGGTAGCTCAGTGGGTTGAGCATCTGACTCTTGATTTTGGCTCAGGTCCTGATCTCATGGTCTTGAGAGTGAGCTGAAAGCACAGTGCTCACTCTCTCTACATAAAATGAAAAAGAAATACGGATGGATATGCAACAATGCGTATTATGTCCAGAGGGGAGCATGGGTGAGGGTAGGTGAGAACGAGGGGAGATGTGCACACTCATACAGAAAGATTGTGTGCGCAGGTATGTTTTGGGAGGTCATTCCACTCACTCGTGTCTCGCACTTGGAGCCTTTTCAAGAACACAAACTTGAGACAGTAACATGTTGTGGAGACTGTCTGGACATAAGCCTCTATATACTTTGAAGATTCTGGTGGCAGGTGCGGACATCTACTCGTCCTGTGGTGCCTGGGACAAGCCTTGTAAGTCCCCTTGCTTATTATTTTAATTTTTTTTTTAATTTTTATTTATTTTTGGGACAGAGAGAGACAGAGCATGAACGGGGGAGGGGCAGAGAGAG